GCGCGCGCGAGAGAGAGAGAGAGAGAGAGGAGTTCGCTTTCTCGTGTTGAGTTCTTGAGAAGGATGGTGGGGTCCGGTGAAGAGGAAACGACGACATTTGGACCGTTGGGTTGGTTTGTTATTTGGAGGACATGTTTTAAATAGGGGTTTTTCTAGGTATTAGTCGCTTACATCTTCAATAATTTCATATTAGTCCCTCAAGTTTTATATGATCTTTCAAAATGGCCGCTCTAATGAACTCGTACTAGATTTGGAGAAAATATTCTGTCAAATCTGATGGTTATAGGCGAAGTGACTATTTGACACCGCTCTTAAGTCCAACATCAGTCAAAGAACCATAACTCAAAGCGAGCTTCACAACAATCATAATCCTCTATGACCCATATAATCTTCTTACACCTTTAATCTATCTATCATCATCTCATCCAGCATTCGAACATTTGCAAAGGGGTAATCTGATAAATGCTGAAATTTGATTAGAAGTTAATCCAACCGTGATTGTACTTTTTTTACTGAAACATGATCCTATAAGATATGATCCTATAAGATTTGAGGGACTCGTATCAATATCCAAGAAGTAATATTGAATTGTTGAAGATTTAAGGGACTAATATCTAAGAAACCCCTTTTAAATATTGATCCCTTAAATCTACCGTAGTTTGATATTAGACTATTAAATTCAGAATATGTTGCCATAGAGATCCTTTATATCCCTAGTTTTAGGGAAATTCTGCTATTCATCAATAATATCTCTTTATTTAGTGGACCTCATGAAAATAACATTGTTTACTAAAATATATCAATAATCTTTTTGGTTGCTTGGGCCACTAAATACCAAGGTTTTAAATATCAGACATTAGGAAAATATTGGATGGCTAAAATTCATATTGGATTGCGGATATCGGGAAATATTAGGGATATGTGGTAAATATTAGAATGTCATAAGGGATGTTTGCATATAAAATGTAATTAACTAAAATATAATATCAATATACTTAATGAAATCTAAGCATAAAAATATAAATAATATATACATATTTAGGATTACTAACCAACCTTGCTAAACAAATAAAAGTACAAATTTTTTAGGCCAAATGTCATTTGATATCATAGAAAAAATCATGATATATCGCTCACAAATTGCCAAATGCAGTATATTATTTTGCGACAAGATGTATAAAAGAATTATCAGCCAGTATATAGGCTAATATATCTGCAATATCGTGTATATAAGTATAACACCCAAAATATCCAAAAAACAGTAAATGACGTTTAGAGACCGTATCCGTTGCGGCAAGCCCTATAAAATGGTATATCGGTTGATATATCGGGCCATGTCGGTGATATTTAAAACAATGCTAAATACACACATAATATTGGTCCATACAACTAATTGTAGGATTTCTCTATAATTGATACTTGCTCGATCAAAAAGTCTGAAACGTGAGCTATTTACAACAGGCTAAAGTATTGCGAGGACAAAGGCTCCCAATTCGTTCAACTGAAATATTACTCGATAACAGTTACGAACGGTCTTATTTCTTTTAACGATTGCAATTGTCTGGATGATAGTAGTATTGTGATAGGGATTAAGGTTTTAGTGAGCAGAAAATAGGAGGTTAAATTCGAAGAGCACACATACTGAGAGGACAACAAAAGTGTGAATTGGGTATATAAGTGCAAAGTAGGGGAACTAAAGGGTACTTAACTGCAATTAAGCTAACTCCATGAGCCCAAAACTCCCTTTGTCCAATTTCAACCCCCATTTTTCAAACACAAAACTCATCCTCCTCCTCCTTCGCGCCATCTCATACCACCCCAAAACACCAAACACCCAAACCCTCCCCATGCTCTCCTCTTCATCACCCTCAATCCCAAAATTCCTCCTCCGTTCATTTCCTCCGTCAACCCTCTCCCAAGCCCTAGAAACCCAAATCGAAACCTTCGCCCACCGCCTCCAAACCTGCGCCCGATCCTCCAACCTCCTCATCGGCGCCACCATCCATGCCCACCTCCTAAAACTCCCCCTGCTCTCCTCCTCCCTCTTCCTCCAAAACCACCTCCTCAATATGTACTTCAAGTGTTCTCCAAACCTTAGTCAGCCCCTCCAACTGTTCGATGAAATGCCCCAACGAAACCTCGTCTCTTGGTCCGCTTCTATCGCGGGCCTCGTCCAAGCCCACCACCCCTACGCCGCGATTTCGCTATTTATTCGCATGTACCAGTCTGGATTGTGGCCCAATGAGTTCACACTCGTCAGTGCTCTGCATGCCAGCTCGCTCATTGATGACCTTAATTGTGCTAGACATGTGTTTGCCCAAGTTGTTAAGCTTGGGTTTGAGTCGAATGTGTTCTTGTGCAATGCTTTTCTCATGGGTTTGATAAGGAACCGGAGGCTGGAGGATGCGGTTGAGTTTTTCGAAAAGTGTGGGGTTAAGGATGTTGTTTCTTGGAATTCGATGATTGCGGGTTTTTTGGAGCTTGATTGTTTGAGAGTCTGGGGGTTTTGGTGTAGGATGATGAGAGAAGGCGTGGACCCTGATGAGTACTCGTTTAGTAGCGTGTTGACCGGGTTAGCGATAGCTTCCTCTAGTTTGGTTAGCGGAACACTAGTGCATGCACAAATTTTGAAGTGTGGATTTATGGAAGATATTTGTGTTGGCAATTCTTTGGTAGATATGTACTTAAAGAATAGGAATTTGGATTGCGGGTTTAGAGCATTTGATGAAATGACATTGAGAGATGTTGTTTCATGGACCCAGATGGCAGCTGGGTGCCTAGATTGCGGTCAGCCCACGAAAGCGCTTGATATTGTTACTCGAATGAAGCTGGTAGGCATAATGCCTAATAAGTTCACTATGGCTACTGCATTGAATGCATGCTCAAACTTAGCTTCAATCGAAGAGGGAAGAAAGGCTCATGGATTTAGGGTTAAACTAGGAAATGACGTGGATGTATGTGTCGATAACGCACTTATTGACATGTATGCAAAATGTGGATCCATGGAAGAAGCAACAAAGGTGTTTCGAGAAATGAAAGAGAGATGCAATGTTTCATGGACTACATTGATCAAAGGATCTGCTGAAAATGGACTTATTCAAGAATCACTCGATGTTTTTGATCAGATGATCTCGGAGCAAGTTGAACCAAACCATATAACGTTCATTTGCATTTTATACGCTTGTAGCCAAGGAGGGTTTATAGACGAAGGATGGAGATATTTCAAATCCATGAAAGATGATTTTGGTATAGACCCAGGCGAAGATCACTATGCTTGTATGGTTGATTTGCTCGGTAAGGCAGGGGAAATTGAAGAAGCAGAATCTTTGATACTAAGCATGCCTTTTCGAGCTGGGGTTTTAGTGTGGCAGACTTTACTTGCTGCTTGTAAGGTTCACGGAGATGTGGAGACCGGGAAGAGAGCAGCAGAGAAAGCTCTTGCATTGGAGAACAATGATCCTTCGACATATGTTCTTTTGTCGAACATTTATGCTGATAAGAGAAATTGGGATGGAGTGGATAGGGTTAGAGAGCTTATGGGAGACAGAGAAGTGAAGAAAACGCCAGGGTCTAGTTGGATTCGAGATCTCAAAGGGTGACTGATTTTCGACACTACAACGATATTGATATAAAGTACATAGGACTGTCACAGGATTTTCTTTGTTATACGTTGGATGATGTGGTCGCCAAAGATATGGAAAGCGATTGTGTTTGGATTGCAGTTGAGGCTTTCTTGTAGTTCAATTATATGGAGTGAAAAGAGTGTTCATTGAGAATGGACGCACTTATCATATTTTGGTAGGATCACTGGATCGGAGACTGATAGTAGTTGGGCACTAATAGCAGATTGTGCGTTCCTCGTTCGACCCCCCTGGTCACTTCCTGAGGGAAATCGGCACGTATCCATGGTCACTCTCAAATTTGGTGTCAGGTATACATTTACGTCTTTCATATCTCGACTATCCACTGACTGGAGATCGATAGAACAAAAATGAGGACTTGAGTAGGACTTCTGGCGTCCTTCTGCAGTCAACTTAGACCATAACGTTCCTGCAAGGGCACAATTCGGCTAAACCATGTCTTGTTCCTTTGTTATTTTAACACATAAGAGTTATTGTGTTGTTGAAGAAAACCACAAGTCTAGACAAGAGAGGGATCTGCCAGTATACGGCCAGATATCGGTAAAGACGTTGGGTACTGGTAAAGCATTTGCGATACAATTCAGGCATCTTTGGGATATGTTTTTAGCTGACATATGCGGAGAAACTAGCAAGTGCTGTGCATCACCTGAAAACAGTCATCTGATAGTAGTCTGAAGAAAGAGAAAAACACCCCATACTGTCTTGTGGATTCTCTTAACATTAAATAGTTTAGGGTGCTGTAAGGTGAATGTTTTCAGCAGTTAACGAGGAATCCAAGTATATAAATTTCCAAAGTCCAACAGCTAGAAGAAAATTCATGAAGGCAGCCCATTTCAGGCTTTACACTGCGTAGTAAGACATGCAGGCAAAGCTTCGATACAATCTCCCATTAGATGCTCATTTTAGAACCCCATAAAAGCTTGAGGCTGCAGAAATTCAGGTCATTGTCCATTCTCAAGTTACGCTATACATAATTTCCATGGGAAGATCTCAAATTTAATTGGTATACACCATTTTCACTGATTCCTCTGACACATGAAGCCTAGTAGTTTACAACTTCACAGATGAATTAAATCACCAAAGTATACAAAGATATACTGATATACAAAGTAGTCAATTAGACAACAGTTGTAGACCCCAGTAGGGAGTCCAAGTATTCTTTCAGCTTAACCTTTGTAATCGCTCCTTCACGTCGACTTTCCGGAACCTCTTTCCCATCTTTGAAGAGAATCAAACATGGCAAGCCATATACTTTGTACTCTTCAATTAACTGGGGATTTGCATCGTGATCAATCTTGACGATCTTTAACTTGTCTTTGTATTCCTGTATTTTCAAACACCCCAGTTCTGTAGGCATTAGCAGGCTAGCTTTATATGTAAAAACTGTATAACACTAATTGTAGAATTCAATGAAAACTGAGCTAATGGAAGTGTGGTATGGAGATACGAAGCATGTGCTAACCTAACTAACAAGTCCTCTCCTAATTAATAAACAAATTCATTTATTTTTTTCCCCTCATTTTGTTGTTTGCTGATCCAGCTCACCTGCTCAAAAGCAAGATAATTGCAGTCATCACGGACTCAGAAAGCAAGATGGCTTATAAAGTCACTATAATAAATGAGACAACCCAATTTTATTAACGGTTTTTCTATAGAATGCCCTTGGGCACTCTATAAGAGAGGAGAGAGATAGAGAGAAATGAATGAGGAGGGGGGCCCCCTGATTTCTATAAGAGAGGAGAGAGATAGAGAGAAATGAATGAGGAGGGGGGCCCCCTGATTTGCATTGGGATCCTCTCTTCATTCATTTCTCTCTATCTCTCTCCTCTCTTATAGAGTGCCCAAGGGCACTCTATAGAAAAACCGATTAAAATGATCTATAGAAAGAATTAATGTCTGTCCTAAAGGAAATGACTAGCATATTAGTAAATGCCGGACATAGGTGGACGTATGTTTCGTGTCCAAGTGTGCTAGACACCCTACTTTTTGTCGAGGAAAACATATCCTAGTATCAATGGATTATGGTAGCCAACCCCTACAATAGTAGGAGCTTCATCAAAGTTACGTCAAAAAGAGATTAATTCTCAAGGGGTTTTGTGGGCAAGGATGCAGCAGTGTGTGCCTGTTTATGGTGTGTGTGTGTGTTGTGTGTGCATGTGTGTGGTGGTTTGGGGTGTGTTTGCTAGCATCCCCTGACAATTCACTACAAAGATTTGAACATCCACCTTAATACATTCCTTACGACGCGTATTGTTGTCTGCTAAAGACAACAATCAAGTCATTAAAAAAGCGCTAAAAGCTCATATGAGGGAACAAACCCACCTTACTATTAGCTAAGGATAATGCAACAGTCAACTCCTTATATAAGCATCTTAAGGGGGAAATCAACTTACAGTACAGAAACCACTTTGCAATGGTTCATCTTTGAGAGCTAATACTGCCAGTATTATGATGAGATCAATACAATATATTCGGAGACAAAAAGAAATTAGAAGCTAATATTGCTCTCCTTATAAAGATCATGTCAAACTTGAGGGGGGGAAAGTGAGAAAATCCATCCTTTATCGCAATGGTCAATAGTAAGCAAGTAGGAGCTAATGGGGTTCAAGGTAGAAGCAAGACGCCAGAAGAACAAGCAGCAATAAAACATCATATCTTTTACTTATTTTTGGAGAACAGGTTGTAGCCTTTTTCAAGCAGGAATTCAATTTCAGAGCTTTCGTCCACTGTAGTGAGATTGAGTTCTATAGTACCACTTGTAACATAATTTACATAATTTATTTTACATTAGATAACAAAGAGGCCAGGTATGCATTATGATACTAAACTTTTATGTAAAAACATTCTGACAGTGTAATAGGTATTTTAAGATATCCATATTGTTTTTAAAATGCAAATTCTGTAGAAGAGAAGTAAACTCGAGGAAAATTCAATAACGGCATACTTCTTATCCATGAAAGGAATTGGTAAACCACCCCATAACATCTAGCCTTGAGAGAATATATGAATATGGCCCCAGACTGCACCTTTTTCATTCACTGATGTGTTCCATGGACCAATGAAAACGGTATTCTTCTTTCTCTCATTTTTTTTTAATTTTTAAAGTTTTATTTATTTTTTATTGTTGTTGCTATTGCTTCTGCTGCTGGTGCTCTCTTGTTTGTTCATTTTTGTGTGCATCTCAGTGTATGTAGGCAAGAGTATATAACATGTAGAGTTGCCTTACTAACCCCGATCTTATATATTAGAAATGACCCTAGTTCAGATCTGAAATATGTTCAGATCTAAATCTAACCCCTTTTCATCCCCACCTCTTTTCCCCTTTTCTTGTGGGACCTAGGCGCAGCTTTCACAGGTACCAAGTCCAAAAAATGTCAATCTTTGGGCTCCTCTCTAACTTTACTCGCCATGTTATCACATCAAGCTCTTCCTGGTGTCTTACCTCCTTTTCAAGGTTTAATAGCCCAAAAAACCTTGCATCTTATAGGTTCTGATTTGCCCATCAAACCATTTCTATGTTTTATTTTTTATTATTTTTTACCCCTCCTTTCGAAGACATGGAAGCTTTCCAAAACTGGCAGATGACGAGAATCCGTCTCTAGAATCAAATAATCTCCGACATGCACCTTAGCTACAATTATCTTCAAAAATCAATACCTAAAATACATTACATCTTTACAGATTTTCCCTCATGAATCCTCATAGGTCTATGGTGCCATTCGTCAATAGCCTGTTCGGATTTGCAGCTAAGTTTTCCTCAGTCACAAAGTTTCCACACCCAAGTCCTGTAACTCCAATAAATCAACCTATGTTTTGCTTCAATATCGTTCACTTCATTGCCTTAAAAACAATTCTGCTTTACACACAAAAAGAATAGTTTGAGATAACCCCATCTCGTACTCAAACCCAGAATATAGCTAGTGAAACTATATTTTGCAAGTATATATTACATGCAAAATATATACTTTTGGTTTACTTTTGGTTTTTGTTAGCAACTATTAGGTTCATATCCCTGTGGAGGGATTTATGGATGTGTACAGAGTGGTGTTTCATCATGCTTTGTAGTTTTTTGTAGTGGACTTCAATACACACTTTTGGTTGGGAGTGTGTATTTTCATGTAACAACCACTTTTGTTAATATTTAGCTGGCTGGATTACCTTTGTGGTAATCCATCCTTTTTCTCAATAAAAAAGTATATATTACATGCAAATTTTTAGACAAGCCGCAGACCCGCAGTTAAAGCTAAGACTTGTAACTCCAAATGGTCAGTCTACATTCTTATTGGCCATTCTTTGCAGCCAAAGACCTCCAAAGAGTTCAGCTTTTAACTGAAGTTTCGAAAACTCGGTCAAATTAAAGAATTAGAGCTATGAGAATCAATAAACTGCAGCTACTCGATCAATCAAAATTGGTCAATTAATCGCCAACTGCAACCATAACACAAGCTTCTCTAATCAAAATTTCGTTAAGGATCCCGAACCGAACCTGAGACGCCCAATCGATGCCGGGCGAGATCAACCGGCACGGCCCGCACCACTCCGCCACGAACTCAACCAGCACCGGCACCTCCGACCCCAAAACCTCACCCGAGAACTCGCTCTCTCCGATTGTAGTCACCGCGGAGCACCGTAACGCAATCTCAGCGCCAACCCTCCCGTCGAACCCCAGCGGTTTCTTCCGCTGAATCAGGCGACCGAGCTGGACGCGGCTTCGGATGGGGGAGACGGGAGAGGCGGAGGGAGGCGGCGGAGATCGCCGGAGAGACGGTCGACGCCATTGAGAGTTTCAGGAGTGGATTTGTTAGGAGAGACTGGAGTCCATCCGTTTTTTCTTTGGTCGAAGAGCGGGGGTAGAGAGTAGAGAGGTTAGAGGAATCTTCGGCACGTGAGAGCCGAGGGCAGTCACGTGGGGATGAAAATGGAGCGGGCTGGGCCTACTACGGCCCATTGGCCCAGGTATTTTTATTTTGATAAAACTGATACTAGGTTTCCAAACTCTCATATGTTGTGTCGGTGCTCGCACGGATGAGCCTTATTAATTGATTTATATATCTGATTTATTTTTTTTTCATTGTGTTTGTGCTTTTAAATTGAATTGTTCTGATTTTTTAGTCCGTTGCATTTTTTTTATGTTTACTGTATAATTCATTTTTTTTATGCATATGATCATACAAATGACTTATAGTCTAAAAATGAACATAATATTACGCTTAAGTTCCCACATGGTGTTATGAACATAACAAGGTCTCCACTACTAATTTCTTCTTTATATCCTTCTTTTTCTAATTTTCTAAAATAAAAAAAGAAAAATTCAGTGCACTGAATAAGTCCGCAGATAAATTTTTTTTTTTTCAGATTCAAAATAGACGATGATTATTTGATTAGATTATCAAATATTTAATTATTAAAATTTTCTAACTATGAATGACTTTAATTTGATGAGGATTTTTAGGTGATTACAACTTTATGTATTCATATTTATATGTCAAGCTTCTGATCAGATTAAGGTGACCACATGCTTAAATGAGATAGGGCACATGGAATTTTTTTTAAAAAAAGTTGGGATTCATTTAGGATCTGGTAACCCAAAACTAATATATTATAAAATGAAGAAAAAAAAAGTAAAGAAAGAACAAGGGAAAAAACATAACATAAAAAAATGAAAGAAAAGAGAAGCAAGAATAACAGAAAAAAATAAATAGAAAAGAGAATTCAAAGTATGATCATTAGATTTTTTTTTTCAATTATGTAATAGTTTAGAATTACTAAATATTTAACTATTAGAATTTTCTGATTATAAATAGTTTTTCTTTGATGAGGATTCTAAATAAAGATATGGATTGGATGACCTCGTGTAAACTTTCAATAGGATTAGTTGTTCACATGTCATACTTAGAAGAGATATAAAAAGACACATGAGGATTTTTTGAGACGGGAGGCTTGGATTGCAAACGACCAATTTTAAAGATATGGTTATTATACTCTATTAATTATTGATAGTTATAATTTTATTTAAAGATATGGTTATTATACTCTATTAATTATTGATAGTTATAATTTTATCAGGATTACTAAATATTTAATTATTAAAACTCTTTAATTGTAATTTTAAAGATTACGAGTAAAATTATATTGCATCACTCCAATTCTAATTCCTCAACAACACCAATCCTTGTACAATTAGTTCATCAAACAAGAACTCCTACATAGATTCGTGTTCCTCGGTTCCGTGCTATAAAAGTGGCATCACGGATCATAAACGAACCAAAACCTGCTCTCCAATTCTCAAAAAAAAGCAAAGAGCAATGCCGACGGTCAGAAGAGCTCCCGGTGCGCCCGACCAAGACCCCCCGCGGTCGACCAGAGCCCGGGTCACCTGCTTCCTCTTCTCCTACGCCGGTTGTTTGCTCCTCCTGGCCCTCGCCATCACCGTCGTCGGCCTCGTCGTCCTCGTCGCCAACTCCTCCCTCCCGCTCTTCTACCTTCGGTCGTTCCCTGTCGTCGTCGCGGAGCCGAACGCCACGTCCGGTTTCCCCGTTAGCGTGAACATCAGGAACTCCAACGTGTTCGATTTCCGCATAACGGGGGGAGGTTGCGACGTATCGTACGCCGGTCGTGTCGTGGGCAACGGCGTTTTGTCCCCCGTCGAGCTTGGATTGCTCGACGGGGTCGATGTGAAGGTGCCCGTGTCCGTGCGTGATGACGGTGGTGACGTTCATCAGAGACTGAGAGAAGCAGCGGACCGCGGGGCGGCGTTCGACGTGGAGATGAAGGTTGAAGCTAAGGTGGGGATATCGTTCCTGAAGTTTAGGGCCAAGGATTTCTACGTATCATGTCGCGTGCGCGTGGATAGCTTGAGGGGGGACTCGAAGCTCACTCATTCTGATTGCAGTAGTCATTATTAGACTAGTTATTTTGACTGTAGTAGGTCTTTTCAATAGTTTTTCTTTTCTTTTTTTTCTTTTTCTTTTTTTTTAATTTCGTCTATTGAGTTCAATAGGGGAGTGGCAGTTTTAGTTAAGGTTTAAGGGACGGTCGATGGTGATTGATCAATTAAGTTCATACAAAGATGTTTATTGTTATTTTATTTAGTTGAATAGCAGTCTTTTTTTTAATTGTTGTTTCATGAAGGAAGTGGTTCCGTCGAAAGTTAACTTTTATGATCTGTTGGCCACTTCTGAGTATTGTCCTTTGTCCTCCCCCGCACAAAAAATAATTAAAAAAAATAAAAAGGAGGAAAATCTGCAGGTCTTTAAAAAAAATTTGAAGGTCATAGTAACAGGGAGGACAATAGCAATGGAAAGTATTTGAGATGATAGTATCATCTTGCGATGAAAAATATCAATCAAATCTGGCAATAATTGACATACAGGAAAATTACCATCACAAAGAGAGAGAAAACTATAACAGCTGCCAAAACATCACAAACAAAAAAAACGTCGGTAATACAGAAAATGCAAGTAAATAGATGAAAGAGGAAAGAAAAATAAATAAATCAAAGCAAAATCATGCATACATTGTCACCAAAAAAACAACTCATATACTGATCATGACACACACACACACACACATATAGGGGGGTGCGTTGACGGGTGAAGAAAAGGGGAGCATGAGTTCTTCCAGCCCCAAGGAGGCTATTGTGATAAAATGTCCCTAACAGAAAGCACGTACCACATGGCTTATGAAAATCACAAATCACAACAATCAACAGGAGCTAGCAATCCTGTAAATAATAACCAGTTCAGACAGCCGTATATAAAACTTGTACAAAAATAAATCCGACAAGTACACCACCTTTGATAACAAGTATAAAAAAAATGAATAAAAAGAAAATGAAGATACAACATGGTTTCTTAAGTAATAAACAAAATGCTGTGTATATAACCTCGAGTTCAGACATGTGCATTTCCTTGGTATGATTTGATTTTTATCGGAATGCAACTCCTACCATATCCACAGTCTCTCCCCAGCTATCTGAGAAGTAACTAAAACTAATGAGCTCAGCAATTATTTTGAACAGCAGTCCTTTTTACTGAATTTCATAACAGGTATCGCATTTGATGCAGTACTGAGAACAGCTCACGGCTCATCCTACAATAGAGATATCAATAGCTATCAGCAAATTAGAACAGGAAGTATCGAGTGAATATGTTTATTTGATTGTGGACTTTCAGTCCCTTCACCAAATGTAAATGTGTGTTTCTTTGGAATATTCAGTTCAAGGGGAAATAATACAATAGGTACATTGCAAAGATATTATCCATCATGGAGAAAATGTATAAAACATTATCCATAACACCTGGTGAGACAAAGCGAAGAGGGTGCACTGCGTGCTATTTGGAGAAGTAAATACTTAAAATTTCAATCACATGCATATGCAAGACAAAAAAATGTCCTTGAAAAGAATAGGCAGCAGAAATTAGATATAAATGCCAATGTCCTTGCAAAGAATTGAAGCAACAGCCGTGAGAAGCCACTGCTGCTATCACTCACACTGTGAGAGGGACACGTATCCCAACAAATAATCTCAACTCTAAACCCAACCCGATACCCAAGCTTACCCTAGCCAATCAAAACGCGTCTTAAGGGCAGTTGCTTAGGGCAGTTGCTAAGCAACTGCCCTGAGACTTTCTGCATCATGTCTAGATCCTTAGTGTGATCTGGCAAAGGCCTCATAAGAGTAATATAAAGATGAAGGACAACAATAGAACATCCAGTTACAAATCAGTAACTTCAAGGTAGGTTTTCTGGTACGTAATTGTTACTTCTGGACAGGTATAGCATAAATATTTAGATGATATACAGAAAAGATGTGCATGGTTCGAAGAACTTTCAAGGAATATAGAGATAACAGGCTCAAGCAGTAAATACTGGTGAGGTGCTTTTCACGAAAATTAGAGGAACATAAAGCTGAAAGTTATCAGTTATGTCACCAACAGACAGAAACTGCAATTGAAGTAACTACATATCAAGTTTTATCTTGCTGATGAAGGCTCACGATTTTCTGCAAGACCAACATAGCATCCAAAGACGTACTGATCCATTTTGTAACAAGTACAAATTTTCATGCATAAACTCATCTACATAAGTAGCCATGTAATTATAGGCATGTCTACTTTCGTTTCATGGAAGTAGCAAATCCCAGCCGTAGTACTCAAAATTTAGGGATCAATTTTAAAATTGAAAAAATCAGTCGAATAAAGATAGCATCAGTCACTCCAGAAGAACTTTCAGATGTAGAAGGATTTAAATAAGAGTCGGGCATTAGGTGAAGAGTAGCGATAACAAGACTACTCTCTCCAAATTACTCCCACACAACAAGTGAGAAAAGTCTGTAATCCTTCCTTTTCAACTTTTCTCAAAATTGGTTACTCCTAAAAGGAGCCCACATTTTCTCTCTTGTAGTGTAGGAGTAGTTTAGGAGAGTAAAAGCTCACATGGCAACTATCATCTGAAACAGTATGCCTTTCAAGATTGACTGAAATCCAGTCTTTGCGCCCTTCTCTTCTGCTTCTTTCACCTGTTTCTAAATTCTGAAGAGCAATAAAACTTCTGTGACAGAAACCCTTCCCTCCCCATGGAAGGGGGAAGTCCAAACAAATTTCATGACCATAGACAAATCCATAAACAAGTTCTCTCTAAACCCTAAACCCTTCTATAACAATTCCAACTATCTTCATTTTCCTATACTAAAACCCTCCCATCCTATGAAAGGGGGAAATCCAAATGAATTGCACGTCCATAGACACATCTATAAACAGTTTTCTCTAAACCCTAAGCTCTTTTCTACACCCTAAACTCTTCTATGACAATCCCAAATATCTTCATTTCCCTAAGCTAAACCCCTTGCACAAGACTAGCAGTTATTTACATCCATGCACCAACTTTTAATAAATTCCATTTTCATAGACACATCCATAAACAAGTTTTCTCTAAACCCTAAATTCTTCTCTACGCCCTAAACTCTTATATAACAATCCCAACTATCTTCATTTCCCTCAACTAAAACCATTACATAGGACTAGCAGTGTTCGACATCTATGCACCAACTTCAAAAGGTAGATCCGGTTGTAAACCTACTTAGTTTGTTGTGAATACGAAAGTATTTTATAACAATCCAAAAATATCTTCATTTTCCTGAACTAAACCCCTACACAAGACTAGCAGTGTTCACCATCTTTGCACCTACTGCAAAAGGTAGACCTGGTAGTATATCTATTTAGTATCTACGTTGTGACAAAGCATGTTATGTCACGCACTTGCAACACTTCGCCTGTCTACTATTATACCAAATTACAATTACAACTTAGCTTTAGAACAACCTTCATATGTTCTCATGGAAATTTCTCAATGTTTGCTAGATAGTAAGTGCATTTAGCACAACCATGGCACAATGCCCTGTACATAAGAGTTCACATGCTTCCACTTATAATATAACCTGTTGAAATAAAAGAAAGAGGAGCTCTATATTATCATTGAAGTACTACCTCATACTCAAACTCCTTGTAGAATATCTATGAAAGAAAAATTCCAATAGAAAAAAGGAAACCTCGTAAAGGAAACTCCTAAATCCAAACATACTATGTACACTAAATTTGAACTCCTCTAGTAAAAGAAACTACTCTTCTAATACTTCCCCTCAAGTGGAGGATAGAGATTAGCTCAGCCCGGCTCGTCACAAAGAGAGTTGAATAATTCGCCAATTTAGTACAAAGGTCATAACAACAATCAATGACAAAATTGTTTATGTGAGAATAACATAGAGATAAAGAAGCTTCCCAAGTGACACCAAGATAAAAGATAATTTATGAGCAACAAAGAGAAAAAGAGGCTGAGCAGCATCTACAAGAAACGTTACTGGCAAAATAGAAGATTGTGTATGCGATGGTGAATAGGTCCAAAATAAACCAAGACCACAAGAGGCCGAGTAGGCCCAGAAAATCAACAAGAAGTGTTGGAACACAGAGAAACGGCAACAAATAAGAGGGGCCAATCGAGGGTTGATGTGATGGGTGTGCATGAAGCTTTGACAAGATGATTGCATTATCACCATATTACAGAACACTGAGAAGTCAAAGGGATAGCATGTCTGTCATGTTGAAGTTCCTGTGGGGTGCTTGTGGAAAATCTCCTTCACTCTCGTGGACAAAGAAGATGACTAGGATCAAAAAAAATTTGCACAGATGAAATGTTGAAATAAAAGAAAGAGACGACTTTCTCTATATCCTCATTGATTATGATGAGAGTAAGACCTGATACTTTTACGCCGCACAGAATTCTGATAGGAAAACAATAATAAGAAAAAGGAAACATGATTAGTGTAACTCCTAAATAGGGACATATATTATTTGACTCGCATTAAACATGGTCTCCTCTACCCAACATTTGATGTAAGTTCTTATAATATAATCCTTTAAAGAAGATGGCCATACAAAATAAAATGGAAGTCCCAAGAAAAGAAATACCAAACCCCACCCCAAACAACCACTCTTAAACACACCAATGATAAAAAAAGGGTAAACAAACACACAAAATCAAGATGAAATCCATAAGCATACTCCAGGGATTTCAGACATACTAGTGAGGATAATTTAGTTTAAGGGGTCACTTTGAATCAGGGATGAGTTTTTTTTTTCCTAGGTGATGGGGGCTAAGCACCACAGATGAGCAAACAAAGTCAACTTTGTTATCAAGTAAATCATCTTAAATTTGTTAACTTCAAAAAGATTGTCCTTCATATTTTTGGTAACACTAAAGCTCTTATACTACTCAATTCAACTACTGCAACTAGTCAAAAAAACTAAATTCAAAAGCTCTCTCAAATACACCTTGATTTGGTCTTTCATACTTAAAACAACAATGTCCTCGTGTATATTCATGAAATCAAGCAGAATAGTACAAAACCTTATGAATAACTCACACTAAACCTCTACATTATTACAACATAATAGGCGTTATTTTCAATATAACATGCGTTATTTCAATGTAGCCTACGTTATTTCAAAATAAGTTACAGTATACCCTTTCCTAAAACTTGAAGTAGTTAAGTAATTACTTATGAATCGCTTATTAAGCCGTCACGGCTGGTTGTGGTGACATCAATATGTTATAGTGCAATTATGAATACGTCTTTTAAACAAATGTAATTATGAATAAGTGATAAAATTTATGATTATATATTTGAGTATTCGATTGTGATACTTCCCAGTAAATCTATATAGGTTTTATTAAATTAAAGAATTTTTATTAAAATATTTTTGTATTATGATATTGTGTTCCCAATTCTTACAATTATTATGAATATTTTTATATTTTTTGAAATTAAATAGTAAAAAATATTTTATTACTAATTGAGATGTTATGTTTGAAATTTTTATAATTCTAATTATTAAAGTCATAATGAATAGTTTGTATTTGTAAAATATGTAGTAATTAATAAACAAAATAACATATGTTATGTGTTACGCTTTTTTTTATTTTTTTTTATTTTACCCAGTTATGTGTTATTGTTATTTTCAATATTGATATAACATGTTGAATATCAATAGTTAGCTAAATGCCAAAACCTGCAAGAAATTGGAAGAAATGAGGTTTTAAAAACTAAACCCAAATTGAGAAGCATGATGACTCAAATACAGAAAAGATCGCATTCTCTATGTATTTTTCAAAAATATGCAAGATTCTCATCTTAAGTCTGTAGAATAGTATAAAGATTTTTCTTATTCACGGTGTAACTGATTTAGACTATGTTTTTATTATCACTCTTAAATCAGTGGGCATAAGCGGTTAGAAAGGATTATCAATAGAGGTAAATTTAAATTTTTTTAATCAATTTCATATTCATGCATGTAACTCTTTTGCTTTCTTTATGAATTTTAAATTCAATGTTTTAAAAAAAAGTCTGGCCCGCCTAGGCTCTCGCCTTGGCCTAGGTAGTATATAGGTCATTCGCCTAAGTCTTGGGAGCGTCCAGGAGAGCATGAAGCTCTTACATGGACTGCACCGCTTAGGTATTTGTCGTAGTTTCCTCATTTGTTGCCTCCGCATCCTTTAACCTCCTCCGAACTCCTCCAACCTCTTCTACCAACTACACACATCTTCCTTCTCCTCCGACCTTCAGCAAAACCTCCTCCCTTGCCACTTAAACAAAAAAAGAAAAGACAATCCTACTGGCACTTTTTCTAACATTGATCGTAATTAAATAAGAAGAAGAAGAAGAAGAAAATGCCTAGGCTCCGGATCCACACCTAGGCTATCTACGCTTGCTGTAAAATTGTTTAAACTATTGCAAAATACTATTTTCTGATATCGGTCCTTGAATCTTTAATACTAATTTAAAATTGGTCTGTCAAATCATTAAAACTGCTAATAGATCCCCTAATAAGTGTTTGTTGCTTCAAAATTCGTCCCTTAAATGATTAAAATTTCTAGCAGATCCCTAATTCTTATAAGTTGTTTCAACTTAATCCCTCCAATCAATAGTAGCATCGCAAGATATAAGAGGGCGGGACCTAATAGCAATTTTAGTAATTTGAGGAATATTTCCAAATTTTAAGGGATATATGAAAAAGCCCTATAATATAATATTTCATTCCTTCGAAAAGAAATAATATCTTAAAGGGGTTTTTGGAAAACACATGTTACCACATACAAACCAAATTATGAGAGGGGTTCCACACTTGGACAAACTTGCCAATAACTACCTTGAACTGAAGGAAAATTTGTTTGATTACTTTAATTTCTTCACTGTTTTGATAAGTAGTATAGGTATGTCCCTATATTAACATAAAAACCTTGTTTGGAGGCGAGGGGGAGGCATCTTTGCTTTGAATCATAAATGACCATATCAGCTATGTTGCATTGCTTGACCAAGACAAATTGACACAGCAACCTTGAAAGCTATGAATATGATGATAAATTGATAACACAAGTTTTTGGCAATTAATAGATTTCTTCAAATTGAGCACTATACTATATCCATTCCTTCCGAAAAATTAATAATTCATATAAGTAGAACAAATAAGATAAGAACAAATACAACAACAAGCTATGCACTATAAACTGTACATAATGCTTGCTACAAGAAATGCAAGAATATGGAAAAGAAGTACTGAAAACATGGCAAATGAGTGGCTTAGAAGTATAGCGTCTGATACATGTGAGACATTGATATGGTTCGCGGTAGGAGTCTTCGTGCTGTATAGACTGCCAGCCTTGAAGTTCTCAAGTTACATCAATCCAAAGATTGCATGTATACACCTGCCACTATATGGAAGGATGTTATGTCTGAGCTGTAATTTTGGACTTTTATTTCACTGGCAAATGTAACAGCCTCACCATGCGGTGTTATAAGGAACATTGGGCAATGAATCAAAGTCAAACAGAAACATACTGATAAATTGTTTAAGTTACACAAGATTAGTTCCGACTTCCAACTATACAGTATGTTACAGTCTTTAATATAAAATAACTGTTAATCTACCTTAGACTCTTATATCAGGTGTTTACATTTGACTTTTAGCTTAGCTTCTTATATCAGACAATTATGCTTGGCTTCTATATTAGCTTATTATATCAGGTGTTTATGCTTGGCTTCCATGTTGCCTTGTTATATCAGGCCTGCTATGCTTGGTATTGTGAACATTTCACTGGATGTTGTGTGGTTCTCAAATTTATATGGTAGAAGACTAGAGGTTGCCAAGATGCCAAACAATTAGACAATCACATGTCATCCTTCTGTATAACACTAAAGAACTACTAATAATTTAAATAGATCTAAAGCTCACAAATCACATGAAATAAAATTAAAGAGCGCAACAACACTGTGTACCATGAAGCAAAAGCAAGCAGGCATACCACACACTTCTCAAACAAACAAAATCAAAAATAGAATGGCAACACGGTACAACATAGACATGCATGAGCAATTTTGCTATACATGTCTCAGATATAAGTTATAGAACAGATGGTCACATAAAGCGAAGTACCTAAAATTACACACGAGGATCCCAATGATGCAAAACTGGCAATGGACCATTAGCAGCTTTTTCAATACATGCAATCGCAATGAAAATTGCATTAACCATTCAATTCTTCAGAAGAAGAAAACAAAGAGAGAATGCTTGTGAATTCATCTCTATCAAAGGTGAAAACGGACAACAAGTTGATTTGCATTCTGACAAAGGTCAAACATCACACATCCTTTGCCCTAATTTGATGGAACTCACACTAGCTGGAGATGATTAGGGAACTAGGGAAGAGCTTTGGATATCTATACTAATACTAATTTATAATGAACTTAATAAGGGAAACGAAAAGTTGGATGACTGGAGGACAACTCCCCTAGTTTCTATTGTAGTTGTGAGGGTAAAATTGTAATTTTAGAAAAGGGATCCCCACCCTTTCTTACTACTACTTATTTCTAGAACATTCTAAAGCAATAACATGAGAATATGATTGAACTCACATAATTAAAATTATTTTGCAAGAGAGATTTTTTCATTTATTTCCTTTTTTTCCGTACCTTATTCTAGCACATTCTAAAGCATAACATAAGACTAGGGTATAAACTCATATAATTAAATTGCAATCTTCTCCAAAAAAATTTTATTTTAATCACTTGCTCCAATTATATTACCCTCAAAGGAAAACTCTTCAACAAAATTGTATTAAGAATATTTGTTGATTTAACTACTAAATAACAGTTCGGGAAACATTTTCCATATAGAACATTATAATAACATTACATAAATTAAATCATTATTGAATTATTGCTATGTATAATAGAAAATTTATTGGATAACAACTTAATAATTTAGCACATGCAGTGCATGTGCAATTGAGCTAGTCATGTATTAGATCAGAAAATGAACGAAAATAGTGTGATAGAAGATTTTGCAGAAACTAGATTATCCTGTCTATGGAAAGGTTTGTGAATGCAGGTTGTTATATAATACAGAATTGCACAACAAGAAGGCCAAATAATGAAGAACATATAACACAACAACGAGAATTCATAAGATGTACATCCCAAGGTGAAATGGACTTTATGGTGCCTCAGGCTCTGAGCATTGTGTAGCATTTTTGACAAAAAAGGACGACAAAAGTTTGATAAGCATGTGATAGTAGTTGGCATTCAAAGATGAGATGCCTTCAATGAACATTTGGAAATATTCAGAAAATGATTATGAACATGTCTATTTCTGGATTAGTTTAAATCAGGAGGCTATAAAAGAAGGGTCATCTCTTATATATGAGGGTTATCTCTGGGAGCAGCATATCGCTTTCTGAGAAGTTATGGTTGTCCAAATCTCCTTTTTGCAACTCGTACTGCTCTGCCTCGGCTTGTAGCTCTTATTACTCTTGAGATTTATGTAGTTAACTTAAGATATGCGGCTTTGATAGGTAAAAGTGTTGAGGGAATCTTGTATACAGTTTAGCAAATTTTTAATCTTTCCATTGAGATCCCTAAGCAGGATCATATTAATTGGCCGTGGACTCCTAATTTCCACACATACTATGTTATGTTAGGAAAAGTCACTCAGACCCAAATAAGGGTGGATTTAAAATTATTTGCACAACAGCAAATTACACAATTACATAAAATACCAATGTCGAATAAAATTAATACGCTACTCCTTTGCATTATCCTTTTTTCTGTTCTTTTAACACTTCCTACATGTAACGTGTAATCAGCGTCATAATCAAACAATAAATGTTAGCACAACTCACACATGTGCATTAAAGGCAATTTCAGCAAACATATTGTCACAGACAGGTAAAGAGAAAACTTGCTGCAGATCCCTTAAGCAAAAATGCAACAATTTTGTGCAATCATATTTTAAACTTTAATGCCTCAGAAAGAGCAGTATAACATCTATCAAAGTAAAAACATCAGCATGAAAAGAAATAAACAGCTTATTACCTCCAGCCACCCTCAATCCAAGTCCTCTTGGTGGGTCTCTGACCCAGGCCCAGATCCTGCACCTCCACTTTCATTCCCACTGCTTCCCGCATTGCTAGCTTCAGCCTGTGATCCCGCAGCTAATGTATGGATGATGGCCAGCTGAATCCTAACCTATCCTCTCTAGACGTACCTCGGCCCTCCCCCTGCATTACCTCCTTCTCCGAGCAGCCGCCGCCTGCGGCTGCCAATCCAGAGCCCTCTTCTCACGGCGGCGCAGCCCATGCCCTCCTCCAACCCCTCCTCTTATTCTCATAATCCGGGTCATCCGGTCAGCCAATCATACTGACAAACTGGCCAAGAATTAGTGCGCAGCTCAAGCCAAGGGGATAATTACAGCCTTATGATACAAATGCCTGTGCAAGGCATCTGCTTCGCCTTCCGGAACGCGATTCAAACTCATTCCTTACACACAGGCACACTGAGCCCGTCGTCCATTTCAATCATAGCCTGAGCGAAATGTTAACATCCGGCAAGGGAATCCAAAGCCGGATTTCCCGCCGGAGGGGTTCCATACGGTTAGGGTCGTTCTCGGCCAGCTGCTGGATGAGCT